CGATTCCACCCCCGGAAACTGTATATTGGAGTTTCTTGTTGGATTGTTTTAGCAATAATTCAGTCGCTAGTGTTTACTGCATAGGCCTAGTAATCCAGACCATTTCCTTTGGATATTGTTAAAATGCCAGATGAGATTATACACAGATTGAATGGAATATAAAGCCATAACTGCCATGTTACAGTTTGCTTCTTCAGTAAACATTCTGAAATGTGTTGTAGACTGTCACTGCATTCTTAACACATATTGAAATAAAACCACTGTTGTTGGGAACGGTTGGTTGAAATGACTGTATTACATCTCAGGGCTATGATCAGATGAGACTTATCCATCTTTGGTTTGTAAGTGCCCAGGATGTGTCTGGTAATTCTGTGACCAAACCAGTACTTTTAAAACATTGAGGCTGGCTTAGTAGTCTGTGATGTGGTATTAAATAAGATGTATCAGAGTCGGCCTCAACTCGGGGTTTATAGGCCATTTCCCTGGATCCCACATCAGCCACCTTGTAAATAAATCAGTCCCGACGACAAGGCTTTCCTCTCTGGAGATTTAATTTACCTCATAACCTCTGAGCCAATGCGGGCTATTTTCACATCAGTATAAGGCAGACTGTGTGAGAGAAAGTGGGCTGAAAGGTTCAGAGATGGAGAGTGGAGGGAGAGCGAGATGGATGGAGGGAAAAAAATAAGCCATTTGAAGTTACCGGTACATTTCCTTCTCTGATTGACAGCCGAAATTAGTTAGAAATTGAGCTTTGTCATGCAGTCAGAGTTTGTAATTAGTTTCTGGTCCTTCAATTTAAATGTACCTGGGAAAGAGCTGTGGTAATGCCTTGCATTGTTGATAGAGTGATTAAACTCATTCAGTCTCCGGTCTAGACTCCAACCAACCATTTGGATTAACAAGGAACAGTTTTCTCTCAGGCTCAAGCCATCACCAGTCACTGAGTTTATAATCACGTCAGGAACAATGACGATGACTAGTCATATTAGTCATCATTATTCGCCAGTCATTGTTATGTAACTGTGTGGCTTTAAATACCTATGTTTACTTCCCAAATGGCACCCCATTCTCTATATAGTGCACTACTTTTGACCAGAGCCCTATGTAGTGCACTAAATTGGGAATAGGGTGCAATTTGGAACGCATCCCAATTCCTACTTTTCACATCTGGAGACAAATCATGAATCCAAAGACACCACAAGGTAAAACATTAAAATCATTGTTATACTGTAGTGGCTATTATACAATCGTATTACTCTTCCATACTGCTGAAAGATTGTTTTCTTTAATCTGAATATGCAAAGCAAATGCAATGCGAATTCATCAGAATTTCCAGCGCCAAAATCTATTTAGTGGTCGAAAGTCTAACAAGGCCAGATTGATTCAGCAGTATTGTGAGGATTAGGAGCGAAGACATTTCATGTTTGTGACATGAGAATGAAAATGTAACTGATTGACTTTAATTAAAGGAACTTTCAGTGGGATTCTGATGTTTTCTCCATTTTCTACCCCTTGGCTTTTGCCAGTCAATGTTATGATGTCTCAACTTCCCCCAAAAATGAGTAGCAGTTGACCAGAAATTGAGCTTTTCAATTAGTTTTCTATAGCTATGTTTCATGAATAAACATGAGGTAATTTATATGCGAAACTATATGCTAAACTAAACATTGAAGTTATTAATGCATCCCTTTTGCAGGGGAAAGTCTTTATCCTGCACCACTTCCTCCCAACAAAGTTTTGTCAGTATCAAGCTTGGATGCCAACATTTCTTTAGAGGTGTCAGTGAACGATAACATTTAATCTATTTGTGACAGTATAAATTAAGAAGCTTTAGCTTTAATTGATATTTGCCTTGAGCCAGTCTTTTTTTCCTCTCACTTCAAGCCATAGAAGAGACAGAAGTGTTATTTTTCAGTTAGAATTGTCTGATCCAATCAGGGTGTTATCCCCTCCCTTTTTTATAGGATAAAAACCAACACTTCAAACAATTGTTTTATTTAACCTTAGCAGGGAGTCCCATTGAGACCAAGGCATCTTTTTCAAGGGAGCCCTGCATGAATACAATTAATAAAATGTGCAACATACAATACTACAAGCAACTTAAGAAGCAAACATGTTACCCAACAGTGCGGTCCTCCAATAAGAACTTAAACTGCCCTAGCCTAGAGGCATCAGAGCATCAAAGGTGCAGAGAGCTCTGCAGATCATTCCATACACGGGCGCAAATTTGACCTAATTCTGTAGTGATCAATAGGACCTCTATAGTTCGCCCTCCCTGTGATCTGGTCTGGTGACTCGTATGTGAACACTACCACTATAATAGACTGGTACCAGTCTCCTAGGCAGACTCACCAAGCTACATGAACATTCTACCTCCCTCCCTAGGGATTCTGAAACATGCTCATTTGATTGAACTGTTGATACAGCCCTCTCTCTCTGTGAGGACTTGAAGTGAAAATGAGTGGGGGCTAACTAAGCATGGGTGGGTTATGCAGCCTTAAGAGAAGGATCACTTTAAGAGACAAGAAGTAGATGGCGCAACCGCAGACAGGCCTCTGGTGGAAGTATTTCTATTCTATATTCTCTACCAGCCATTCTGGGGATGTGTGCACAGAGGTAGTGTGTCAATAACTGACAGCCTGTCTCAGTCAATCAGCATACCCAGGGGCTCACAGCCTCTGGAACATGGAGAGGACTCAACAGCACCCCCATAACTGACAGGGCTCCAGATCTATGGACTATAATTACTTTGAGTCCACCTTTCACCGAGCAGGTTAATGGGCTCGTTGAGTGTGGCACACACCTTTTTTTTAAAGTCCATCTAATGCTTTTCAAAGTCTTGTCATGACCATGCATTTTGCAGCGATCGTTAGGCTTAGAGTAAAGCTGTGTCTGAAAATAATAACACCATCTCATTTACAGAAGAGTTACTGTGCTAATCGGACCATGCTCATTTTAAGACAATCTGTAAAGGCTATCTGTAAATCCCTTTGTGACAACTTCTGATGTAACAACTTTTTTGTGACAACTTTTGCTTGCTTGCTTGCTTGTGCCTCTGTTCCTTCTCTCTACCCTCTGAAGTTCACACATGGGGCTCAGAGAACAGAACTGTCAATGTACAGACTCCTTCCTGTGCTCCTCTCATCTCATCCCCTCCCCTCTGACAGCCGTGCGGTCGGATTAGACTGGCACTCCCGGCTTTCAAATGAGTAGGATTCCTGCTGAACTCCAATAAACAGTGCTCACCATGTAAAACCTACACTCACACAGCCTAACAGTATTGTTCCTTGCCCTTTCCCTATATCCACCCCTGTAAAAAATCAATGAGATAAAATCCCCAGTGATTTCAGGGTGTGAGAATAAAAGTGTGTGGTTTAAAGGACTTTGGGTCCAGAGGCAGCTGTGAAATAGTAATGTACAACTGAGAAAAGGGAGACAGGCAGCCAGGAGAGAAGTGGATGAGTAGTGCTGCAGTGTCAGTTGTATCTACAGATAGCCCACTTCTGCTGCTGTCCATTTCATTTGATTGTGGGAGGCTTATTGCTGACAGGAGAGAGGCAAGCTGTCAAACACAAAAGGGTCTCACAGAGAAGCAGAAGTCCTAGTTTGATTCCTTTTTTCTTTTAACATTAGTTGGCTGTTCAGTAAATGATCCATCTTGGCATAGCCCCAACCTTATTCATCACCTTGTACAAGCTCAGTCCGCTTACCTCACACAGCAGCATTTTAAAGAAAAGTGAACAGAACTGACTAAGGCATACATTATGCAGTTGTGATTGTCATGCCATTGGTATGTGTCAGAGTTGGTTGATTTAAATCTTTATGCTTCACAAGGTCACCTGGCTCATTGGCATTGTTCCCTTCCTCCCCTCGTCCCTGAGCACAGCATCAGTACCACAGCAGACACCGCAGACCTGCCCATATGCAGATAACCACCATGGCATTTATCTGCACTTCCTGCCTTAACGTCCATTCAGCATCCAGGTAGCTCCCCACTGGGCACCAACTGGTTGAATCAACGTTGTTTACATGTCATTTCAATGAAATTACGTTGAACCAACATGGAATAGACGTTGAATTGACGTCTGTGCCCAATGGGTCTACTCTGCTCTCTGCCCGGCGACTGGAAGCCGATAGGAGGAGTGCCAGGACCCTTTAAGAGGCAGTGTAAAAATGTAGAGGTGTAATGAGGAATTAAGTGACTTATTGGCGGCACACTCATTGCCTTCATTAAGCCACATATTAACGACCATCTATCATGAGAGCGAAAGGAAGTGAGACTCTGGGTGCTTTATGGAGCGTGCATTGTCACCTCTTTCCATTTATCTGTTACCTTTGACTGCGGTAGGTTTGTAGGCATTAAGAAGAGGACAAGGATCATAATTAGCTGTTTGCAGTGGGAAATGGATGTGAACCCTCAAACCAAAAGCATCTACAGGGTTCACCAGGCCTTTTGAGTCAAGGCTTCCTGTTAAATTAGATCAGATGAAGGACACTCCATGGAGAAGAAGAATTTGTGAGTGCTACATCATTATATCACACCCTGGCCATTAAGTGTCTGCATGGATTTATATTCCATTTAATAATTAGATTAAAAAAATATTTAGACTTATTTTTTATGCATTTTAAGTCCTAAGCAAGTCTCAAATCTTAACCTTCAAGTCTCGAGTCAAGTCTCAAGTAATAATGGACACGTCTCAAGTAAAGTCCCAAGTTCCACAGCTCAGGTTGAGTCAAGTCACAAGTCCCTAATTTGGGGTTTTGTGTCTTAATAATAATAATAATAATAATTAGTCATTTAGCAGACGCTCTTATTCAAGTCAATGGTTGTGTTTTATGCCAATTTCAATGCAATTTTTTATTTCCTGTTTTTCTTACACTGCTAGTACACTACATAATAAACTTGAGTGAAAGATCATGTTAGAAATGTTTTTTTAATTTTTGTATTACTATTACTGATAGAAGGGCCACATGACAAGACTTTAGGGCTCTTAGGTTTACAATGCATTGCATTTACAAAAGATCAAATTGGCCAAGAATCTATCACCCATTTGTGAGCGATGGGGCCGCAGTATGATTCCCCCATGGCTGAACACACGCTCCACAGAAGCACTTGATGCAGGCACTGCCAAGACCCTCACTGCCACTCGGAACAGTGAATGTAGAGTGTTTCTGTTCATAGCCCTGAACAAAAGGTTGTTCTGTCCTTCGCAAATGTCAAGGTAGAGGCTGAGATGCTGGAGTGCCACATACTTCTCTTTTTTGTCTTTTGCGATATGCTGCAAACAGCCCTGACTCTTCTCCCAGAGAACGGTCCTCCTCCTCAGTGATGATTGGATCCACAGGTTGCCCATTCTCTGAAGCCTCTCACAGAATTAAATCTATATAGACAGAAACAAAAATTTAGTCTTGCTATTAGTAGTTGACTATTTAAATGAAAATGCTGTATAAATTAATTAGGCTAAGTATTAACTCTATTGGTAAACTTTTTATGATAGAAAGATACACACCTTTCACCATGTGTCACCTCGTCCTTAATAGCATCATCCACCAGAACATAATGTTGCAGCCACATCAGGGAAAAGGAGGGATCTAGCACAGCTGCTTTAAGATAGATATGGCCTGAGAAGGGTGTGATTCCTCAGTCTCCAGATGGGGTGGCCATCTTGACATTGATGAAGATTCCAATTAATCTCCTCTTCAGTGATGCTTGGAGACTACGAACCAGGCCAGTAAGGTAGCTCACTTGTGGTTTCTGCGTCTCCAGATGATGGTGTAGGGAAAGAATGCTAGGAACCACTGCACTGATTGTGACAACTTTCTCTCCTTGCGTAATATCTGTGGCTTCTGCAAAAGGCTGAAGAATGTCACCCAATTATTCAGTAGTTTCCACTCTCAAAGAAAATATGAATTCTTTATGCCCCACCTCTTCACGCATCCGACACAACTTCAGGTAGCCGAAATAGAGCACTTCTCTCACCTGCCTCACTGTGGAGTTCCAGAATGTGTTCACTGCAGCAGGGATTCCCTTCACTCCAAACTCACCCTCAAATTCCTCTTTAAAAGTGGTGCTAGTGTGGGGAAATGAGCTAATCTTGGACGCTTTGGAAAGAGCTGGACTGACAATTTTTGTCTCCTTCAACCCATCTCTCACCGCTAGTTGTAATGTACACTGCATTCAGAAAGAATTCAGACCCCTTTACTTTTTACACTTTATGTTTCAGCCTTATTCTAATATTGATTAAATTGTTTTTCCCCTTATCAATCTACACACAATACCCCGTATTGACAAAGCCAAAACAGGTTTTTAGAATTTTTGCAAATATATACAAAATAAAAAACTGAAATATATATATATATATATATATATATATATATAACATTTACATAAGTATTCAGACCACTCAGTACTTTGCTGAAGCACCTTTGGCAGCGATTACAGCCTTGAGTCTTCTTGGGTATGATGCTACAAGCATGACAGACCTGTATTTGGGGAGTTTCTCTCATTCTTCTCTGTAGATCCTCACAAGCTCTGTCAGGTTGGATGGGGAGTGTCGCTGCACAGCAATTTACAGGTCTCTCAAGAGATGTTCGATCAGGTTCAAGTCCGGGCTCTGGTTGGGCCACTCAAGGACATTCAGAGACTTGTCCCGAAGCTACTCCTGCATTGTCTTGGCTGTGTTTAGGGTCGTTGTCCTGTTGGAAGGTGAACCTTCACACCAGTCTGAGGTCCTGAGCACTCTGGAGCAGGTTTTCATCAAGGATCTCCCTGTACTTTGCTCCATTCATCTTTCACTCAATCCTGACTTGTCTCCCAGTCCCTGCCGCTGAAAAACATCCCCACAGCATGATGCTGCCACCACCATGTTTCACGGTAGGGATGGTGCCAGGTTTCCTCCAGACATGACGCTTGGCATTCAGGCCATACAGTTCAATCTTGGTTTCATCAGACCAGAGAATCTTGTTTCTCATGGTCTGAGTCCTTTAGGTGCCTTTTGGCAAACTCCAAGCGGGCTGTAATGTGGTTTTTACTAAGGAGTGGCTCCGTCTGGCCACTCTACCAAGGCCTGATTGGCGGAGTGCTACAGAGATGGTTGGCCTTCTGGAAGGTTCTCCCATCTCCACAGAGGAACTCTGGAGCTCTATCAGAGTGAACATCAGGTTCTTGGTCACCTCCCTGACCAAGGCCCTTCTCCCCCGATTGCTCAGTTTGGCTGGGCGGCCAGCTTTAGGAAGAGTCTTGGTGGTTCCAAACCTCTTCCAATAAGAATGATGGAGGCCACTGTGTTCTTGGGGACCTTCAATGCTGCAGAAATGTTTTGGTACCCTTCCCCAGATCTGTGTCTCGACACAATCCCGTCTCGGAACTCTACAGCCAATTCCTTTGACCTCTTGACTTGTTTTTTGCTCTGACATGCACTGTCAACTATGTGGGACCTTATTTCAACAGGTGTGTGCCTTTCCAAATCATGTCCAATCAATTGAATTTACCACAGGTGGACTCCAATCAAGTTGTAGAAACATTTCAAGGATGATCAATAGAAACATTTCTAAAAACTTGTTTTCACTTTGTCATTATGGGGTACTGTGTGTAGGTTGAGGATTTGTATTTATTTAATCCATTTTAGAATAACGCTGTAACGTAACAAAATGTGGAAAAAGTCAAGGGGTCTAAATTCTTTCCGAATGCACTTCTTGTGCAAAACACTAAACGTTGTTGTTGACCATTTTTACCCAAAGTTGTCGATGGCCTCCGGTTCTTCAACTTCCAGGTCATTCCATATGTCTGGTTCATCTATGTGGTGATCATCATGGACAGCCTCTTCCTCTTCAGTTGGGAAGCACACTGTGAACTCCTTTTTCATGTTATGTAATCTAGCTTGCGTTTGAGCCCATATTTGTCACATAAGCCCTCAAACTTCTCTCATATTCATTCCCCTGTGTTTGCTCTTGTAAAGCGGTTACATGCCAACAGATTGGACTTCAGTTGTACGACCTCATTCTCCATTTCAATCGAGTGGGTAGTGACCCCAAGGAATCCTCTCATTTTTCTGTCAGACCATATGTCTACCGTGACAGATGCGGTCAGCTTGTGCCATCTGATCTTTGAGTTTTGTCTGCCTGTCGGCAACCAGGTTGTCAATCTTGGCGCTTACGGTTCTGCGACACACTGGGGCGTATTTGCTATCAAACAATGACAAAAAGTGACGAAAGCTCTTGTGTTCAATGATGGATAGGGGCATGTTGCAATCCACAATCAGGTCTGACATTATGGAATTGGTGATAGCTTTTTGCTGTGGATGGTTGGTGTTGTACAGTTGACCAGAGCGTGTCTCTATGAATTGGGAGATGTGAGGCTGATGAGGGTCACTGCTGATTGTCTTGCTCTTCTGGTATTCATCAAAGCTATAAAATACTTCTATTTGTTCATTTGTTTTATATGATGGAGATGATCAAATATCCACCTCACCATAATTTTTTGTTGAATTCATGAGTGAGCATAACGTTAAGAAAACTGATATTATTCAATAGGTAATTGTCTGTATTTACATAAACTTTTTTAAATGTTTTAATAGTAGGCCTACATAGGGATGTCAAAAACAAAACAACAATCTAAATGTGCTGTCCACTTTGGACACATGGTAGGGGGAGCCATTGCAAGCTAGCTAGCTAACGTTGGTAAGTTCCAGAACATTACCTCACGTTAGCTAGCTCACACAGCAATTACATTCTTATTTTCTTTATGTTTTACACACTGCAGTCATTTTTTTCCCCACCACCACGTAGTCTGTGAAACCGAATGAAACTATTTTTGGGAAAGATCCAGTTGATGCCATGATGATTACAGACTAACGTCAGAGATACTGTATATAATGACGAGATGGTCTTGTCTCCGCCCTTAACAATGGGAATCGTTGTCCCAAAGGCGCGAAGGAAGGCGGTCTGCTTATCGTTCAGCTTATCGCTGTATTCCCACGTGGACAGATTGATGGCAGTGGACCCTCTCGCTTCGCCTCTTTCTCTCTGCTAGCGTTGACAGATAGTTTGAGTGACATCGAGAAATGTCAAATTCGAGTCAAGTGTTGTTTTCCCATTCCCGCCCACTGGGTGCGCGTTGAGAGGTCTGTGGAGGTTGGTTGGCTAAAAAAAGAAGGTGATGCGACAGGAGGTTAGAGGATGAGAGGAGGGTGATGCCCTTTCGGGATGGGGAAATCTAAACAATTCTCCCAAGTCTCTCGAGTCATACAGCTCAAGTCCCAGTTAAGTCACGAGTCATAGATGCTCAATTCGAAGTCGAGTGGCAAGTTATTTTGTTTTTTTGCCAAGTCTCAAGTCGCAAAATGTATGACTCGAGTAGTACTAGAGTCACGTGACTAGAGTCCACATCTCTGTAAAAGGGTGATTTTTCTATACACTTGTCAATGGTGGATGAAAAGGATTATGATGATAGTTTTGCCATAACTCACTATTCCAATAAATGACCTGCAAACTAAGCTGATGAGTGAAGGTAGGCCTGGTTTGACACAACCACAGACTAAGGAAAGGGAGTAGTTCATAGACACAACATGTACATACTTCCCCACTTGTTGTGATACATGGACAAAGAGATAAAAGGCTGGGGGGGAAATATCATAGGAGTAAATATGGGGATTTTCCACTCACGTGCTGTATAAAAATAGTTAATGATTTCGTCCCATTGTGTTCTCTTATTTTATGGTAGAACAAAATGGCTGCCTGAAAAGGAGCACTTGTTTGCCATTTGAGAGGAGGACAAGCAAAGGCATCAGTAACATAGAAATTAACAATCTGTCAGGAATCAATTTTACATAGGATGTGTCAGTATTGGCCCCGCTGCCTTTCAGGTTTGGAGTAATGAATTAATTCTACAGGTTGTATACCCCCTTCCCCCTCCAACCCACCTCATGTAGCAGAAATAACATAATTTAATTTTCTGCTTGAAACAATTTTCAACTTGTCACTCAATGATCTGGGAAGATTACGGGTTAGTGTGTCTCCGTCTCTTTTGTGCTTGCCTGATTCTTTCTGTCTCTTTCCATCCTTCATAACTACATTGTCACTTGTTTTTTAAGGTCTTCTTCTAGGTCTGTCTAGGAAACATATGGTCAAAAGCATAATTGATTTATGCATTGCGAGAATATGTGCTTGGATTCATTCCTGTACTCAACAACATAACAATGTGAAACTAATGTTTTTTTTTTCAAGGTTCTTGAACATAACACAGTTACATAATAGTTTTTCTGAGAGAGTTTACTCTTATACTTTAATTCATCAATTTCTTTGTCAAAACTACGGCAACCTACACATTTGTATTTTTCCCTTTATAAAATACAAATTTGGTGCTCAAGGCCTTTATGACTGCAGTCAATAATGACAGAATTGTCTTGGCAAACTGTGTGCGACAAGTCGTGAGAATGTAGTCCAAAAGGCCTTGCAAAAGCCTATCTCAAAGTCCAGGGTAATTTCTGAAAGTATGAACCCCAATCTGGCCTTGAATTGAGTCCTGGACTCAGATGTTTTGTTGTGTGTTTACACTATAATCTGTGTATTTACTGCATTTGGTGAGTGCACTATAGCACTATAGCATTCATTGATTTATCTATTAGACACGACCACATTTGTGGTGGTAGAAAGTGGGGCTGGGTGATTAGATTTCAGTGGACAAAATTGGATTTGATGGTGGACATAATAGCTTTCATGGGCTTTTACGGTACAGCTCTGAATGGCTTAACCATATCATCCTTGATGGGATTGAGGTTTAATTCTGGGATTAGCCCAGTGATGACGTCCTGTTCCTCCTTATTGTTCTGGGCCCAGTAGTAGAGGGCTGTCCTGAACTAGAGGCTTCACATGAAGAGTCCACAACTTTGCCTAAAATGACACCCTATTCCCTTTATAGCCCATAGATCGAAAGTAGTGCACTAAAAGGGAATAATGTGAAGGGAATACAGTAGGGTGCCATTTGGGAAGGCATCCCAGATCTACAGTGAGGGAAATAAGTATTTGATCCCCTGCTGATTTTGTATGTTTGCCCACTAACAAATAAATGATCAGTCTAATATTTTAATGGTAGGTTTATTTGAACAGTGAGAGTAGTTTCTTGTAGTTGGCCACCAGGTTTGCACACATCTCAGGAGGGATTTTGTCCCACTCCTCTTTGCAGATCTTCTCCAAGTCATTAAGGTTTCGAGGCTGATGTTTGGCAACTCGAACCTTCAGCTCCCTCAACAGATTTTCTATGGGATTAAGGTCTGGAGACTGGCTAGGCCACTCCAGGACCTTAATGTGCTTCTTCTTGAGCCACTCCTTTGTTGCCTTGGCTGTGTGTGTTGGGTCATTGTCATGCTGGAATGCCCATCCACGACCCATTTTCAATGCCCTGGCTGAGGGAAGGAGGTTCTCACCCAAGATTTGACAGTACATGGCCCTCTCAATCAGAAAGATTTCTGGCTCCCAGGTGTCTTTTATACAGGTAACGAGCTGAGATTAGGAGCACACTCTTAAAGGGAGTGCTCCTAATCGCAGCTCGTTACCTGTATAAAGGACACCTGTCCACAGAAGCAATCAATCAATCAGATTCCAAACTCTCCACCATGGCCAAGAACAAAGAGCTCTCCAAGGATGTCAGGGACAAGATTGTAGACCTACACATGGCTGGAATGGGCTACAAGACCATCGCCAAGCAGCTTGGTGAGAAGGTGACAACAGTTGGTGCGATTATTCGCAAATGGAAGAAACACAAAAGACCTGTCAATCTCTGGGGCTCCATGCAAGATCTCACCTCGTGGAGTTGCAATGATCATGAGAACGATGAGGAATCAGCCCAGAACTACACGGGAGGATCTTGTCAATGATCTCAAGGCATCTGGGACCATAGTCACCAAGAAAACAATTGGTAACACACTACACCGTGAAGGACTGAAATCCTGCAGCGCCCGCAAGGTCCCCCTGCTCAAGAAAGCACATATACAGGCCCGTCTGAAGTTTGCAATGAACATCTGAATGATTCAGAGGAGAACTGAGTGTTGTGGTCAGATGAGACCAAAATTGAGCTCTTTGGCATCAACTCAACTCGCCGTGTTTGGAGGAGGAGGAATGCGCCTCCAGAGTGGCGCAGTGGTCTAAGGCACTGCATCGCAGTGCTAGCTGTGCCACTAGAGATCCTGGTTTGAATCCAGGCTCTGTTGTAGCCGGCCGCGACCGGGAGACCCAGGGGGCGTCGCACAATTGGCCCAGCGTCGTCCAGGGTGGGGGAGGGAATGGCCGGCAGGGATGTAGCTCAGTTGGTAGAGCATGGCGTTTGCAACGCCAGGGTTGTGGGTTCGATTCCCACATATGAAAAATAAATAAAATTAATGTATGCTAAAAATGACGTTGATTATACGTCATTTATAGACTGATCATGTCTTTGTCAGTGGGCAAACGTACAAAATCAGCAGGGGATCAAATACTTTTTCCCCTCATTGTATCTTGAACTAAAAACCCATCTAATATTGTGTAGCCTTGTTGTTAGATCAATGTTTCCCTCCCTCTCTATTAAATCAATGAGGAACTATAAGGTAGAATGACAGTCAAACATGTGCCAGCTGCTTGCTGAACTGACTTGAAGGAATAACCTGATTTATGAATTGTGCGCTCAAGTAGGGACATATTGGGCATATTGGCATCTTCACAAAGACATTCTTTGCACAAAGAGGAGGGCTTGCGGCGGAGATAAGATGCAGTCCAGCTTGTCACGATCGCCAATGAAGTAGGACCAAAGCGCAGCGTTGGGAGTGAACATGATGACTTTAATGTTGAATACACGACAAAACAAAACACGATCCGTAACGTCCTCAGTACACCGACTGAACATAGAACAAAAACCCACAACCACAAGGTGAACACAGACATTTTAAATATGGCTCCCAATCAGAGATAACGAGCCGACAGCTGACACTCGTTACCTCCGATTGGGAGTCACTGACCAAACATAGAACGCGAACACCTAGACACTACACACAGTACAAAACACACGGAAATCTACACACCCTGACTAAACATAAAAGTCCCAGAGCCAGAGTGTGACAGTACCCCCCCCCTAAAGGCGCGGACTGCGACCGCGCCTAAATACAAGCAAACAGGGGAGGGCTGGGTGGGCATTCCTCCTCGGCGGCGGCTCCGGCTCCGGGCTTCCTCCCCACTTCCTCTCCAACCCCCCAAAGTACCCCTGGTCCTGTCCAGCCCCGCTGGCCGGAACCGGACTGACGACACGCGCCCCTGGCTTGGTGCGTGGAACAGGAACGGACCGGACCGGGCTGACGATACACACCCCTGGCTTGGTGCGTGGAGCAGGAACGGACCGGAATGGGCTGGCAACGCGCACCACAGACTTGGTGCGGAGAGCAGGAACGAGCCGGACAGGGCTGACGAAACGCACCCTTGGCCTGGTGCGTGGAGCAGGAACAGGCCGGACAGGGCTGACAAGATGCACCACAGACTTGAGCCGGGGAGCAGGAACAGGCCGAACCGGGCTGGCGACACGTACCACAGCCTTGGTGCGGAGAGCAGGCACGGGCCGGACAGGGCTGACGAAACGTACCACAGACTTGGTGCGGGGAGCAGGAACAGGCCGGGCCGGGCTGGCGACGCGCATCCTTGGCTTGGTGCGGGGAGCAGGCACGGGCCGGACAGGGCTGACGAAACGCACCACAGACTTGGTGCGGGGAGCAGGAACAGACAGGACCGCGCTGGGGACACACACCCCTGGCCCTCCACGGGGATCAGGAACGGGCCGGACCGGACTGGTAACACACCCCAGTACCTTTCGCCCTGCCTCCACACCTTCCTTCCCCTTCGTGACCAGTGGCCCCCTTAACCTGGCGGCCTCCTCTGCCAACCTTCTGCACTCCTCAATCCCGTACTCCTGCTGCCCCGACGTCGTGAGCCCCCCCCTAAAAATTTTCTGGGGGTCTCTCCTCCCCGTGGACCAGGCCTCTAATGTCCTCTCCCAACCTTCGCTCTTCTGGCTCCACCACTCGTTATCCAACTGCTGCTTGGTCTCGTTGTGGTGGGTTTTTCTGTCACGATCGCCAATGAAGTAGGACCAAAGCGCAGCGTTGGGAGTGAACATGATGACTTTAATGTTGAATACACGACAAAACAAAACACGATCCGTAACGTCCTCAGTACACCGACTGAACATAGAACAAAAACCCACAACCACAAGGTGAACACAGACATTTTAAATATGGCTCCCAATCAGAGATAACGAGCCGACAGCTGACACTCGTTACCTCCGATTGGGAGTCACTGACCAAACATAGAACGCGAACACCTAGACACTACACACAGTACAAAACACACGGAAATCTACACACCCTGACTAAACATAAAAGTCCCAGAGCCAGAGTGTGACACAGCTCAACAGTCACAGTGCTAGTAATCAGTCCTCTCCCAATGCCTCTGTGCTTGGTGGTCTATTCTGATTTCATTCATCCACAAATTGCTCTGAAAAGACTGATTTCGACTAGATTGGAAGAGAATTGCTGAAGTTGTTATTGTATTCTTATTTTCTGTCCATTTTAGCTTGCGATGAATGAGAAATGCAAACATTGTCCGCAGGGAATTACAGATTTTCAATATGAACATGGAGTATAGTGAATCCAAATACTGCCTCAGTATGTGAAAGATCATTTGTTCCTATAGACCCCAAGTTAAGTGACACTTTTTTGCCTCTTTGAGAAACATAATTTTTCCAAGCATCATTTAATTCTAGGACACATCATAGAAGAGTAGTTTGAATTACTTTCCTTTAGCTCAAAATATTAGCGAATAGCTTAACATATCTATCAGCGCTGGGTTTTGTTTTGAATATCATTCATGGTCACCCAGAAGAACACTGCATTGGTTGCTCTTTGGGGATTTAGGCTGGGTATCCATAAAGCACTTTGTGACAACTGCTGATCTGAAAAAGGTTTGTCAAATAAATACATTTGATTGGATAGTTAAATCAGTCTCTCTCTTTGCAGGAGCCACAGGTGACATCCTGCCAGACTCCCTACCGTCAGTCCCAGGTACCCTGCCTCACTTCATGAAGGAGCCAGAAGATGCCTACATCATCAAGAGCAACCCAATCAAGCTGCTGTGTCGGGCTGTGCCTGCCCTTCAGATCTTCTTCAAGTGTAATGGAGAATGGGTGCACCAGAATGAACATGTGTCCCGGGAGTACATGGATCAGAACACTGGTAAGAAGTCAGAGATCCTATAATCCAAGGGTATTCAAATCCTACCCTGGAGGACTGGAGTACTGCTGGTTTTCTGTTCTTACCTGATAATTCATTGCAACCATCTTGTGTCCCAGGCCTAAATCAGTCCCTGATTGAGGGGAAGAATGAAAAAAAGCAGTGGAACTGGCTTCGAGGTCCGCAGTTGAATTTGAGGGCTATAATCCCATAGTTTTCCTATTTTCTATAGTTCTATGTGATATTTTACTCTGTAAGAAGCATCATCACTATCATCTCCCAGTCTAACTACTGCATAGTGAGAGGGGATCTGGATTCACTGTGACCATGTGTGGGATCATGGGCTTGCAATCAACACTGCATATTTGTTTTGGGAAATTATGACATTATGTGAATATGATAATCTTCGACTTGATACAGTACTGTACATGTAGCATACATATTGTTACTACAGATACTTTTCAGTCTATAGGCAGTTGTCTTTTTTTTTATGTTTCCAAAGACAGTTAAAGTTAAGCAACAATTAGGCCACCAGAGATCAGAAAACATTTAATAGATTATTTTTTTTTTACTACATATTCTATCCGTCACCCGAAACCTGCAAAAAACACTCCAACTTGCCCTCATAACGTCAACAAGTAATTTGTGAAGTTGTGTTGAAGTTATCACGTTGCGTGATATAAAGGAGATGGTATGTTCAGCCCAATTAAGCCCCATCAGGCTGGTGTCAGAGAGGGACGTGCAGAACAGACTAGGTTTGGGTCACAAATGGCACCCTATTTCCTATATAGTGCACTACTTTTGACCTGGGCCCACAGTGCACTATGTAGGGAATACGGTACAATTTTGGATGCAGCCTATAGAGCAGGTTGTGTTGATTAGAAGCCTTCACTTTAGTTCTGTTTCCTGAAGGGCTTTCTGGGAGAACACAACTGATGTGACACCTCGTCTGGAATGTGCTCTGATTAGTGGCTTCTCAAAAGGGGAAGGAGTCTTTCTGGTATTCATGAAGGTCCCTCTGCAGAAAAGCCTGTTTAATTGCTTCTGGGAGTTCAGTTATTGTGCGATTGCTGTTCTGTGAAATTGCTGTGTGACTGATAATGGGGGGAAATAAAAGTCAGAACTTTGATTATTTTTGCTCTGTGTGAGTCAGGCAGTACATGGGAAAAGTATTAGGGAAAAGTTCACTGTTTGGGTTTTATTAACAAACTTGCTTTATGCTACATCCAATGGTTAGCAAGAGGCAACCTAATTTATTTATTTCAGAGATCAGAATGGAGCATTATCTAACAACAACAAAAAGTGAAGTGCCTGATGTTCTTTTTTAAGTGGAAGGAGCCAAAAATCTGATGCTGAATGCTGAATTATTGTCATCAAATTAAATTATTTATTTCTAAAATGGATTCCATGAGCTCCAAACCAAGCACTGTATTTTTATAATTGTATGCAAATTACCAAAATAAAGGGAATATCACCCATTGCACTGGGATTGGCGGTGAAAGGTTGTTGTTATGAGAGGTTAAACTACCTGTACATGTAGAGAGGGTCTGTCAACCTATTGACCAATCAATGTCTGTTAACTCCACAATAAAGTTCCTAGCTAAACCCATGGGGTAATTCTTTGTCATGTTAACGGTACCATAATGGCTCATATTGCTTATTTCATAAGGTTATAAACTTGATATTATCCTTTCAATTTCATAGAGCCAATGTGTTGTTTTCCTACTGTAAAGGAAGTATGGTCTTTGTAAACCCTGAGTAGATCAGGTCTGATGTAGGATTTGAAAGCATTTTTGTATTCATTAACTCGGTTCATACTTGTTCAGCTCATCTGCATTCTCACGTGAATAACCGTCTGCTCGTTGAGCTCCCTCCAGACGGAGCACCGCCTCCCCACATGGTACACCTAACACATTATCTTCACAATTTCACAGATTCTGATTCAAGAACGCCCAGTGTAAAAAATAAATAAAAAAGTTATTCCTTTTTACCTCGCTCTGCCTTTAAGCTATATTCGGGGAACGGTTTTTTACCTTTTTTACCTTCTCCTGCACTTAACCGCCTGCAGTGTTGCCTTGCCTAGGCTATAAAACCAATGGGTTCTGCATCAGAAGGAGGCCCGGGTGGATTTGCAATTAAAAGAGCCTGGCTGAGATTGTCCTGTCCTCATCTCACGCCCAGCCTGCTGCATAGCCAGCTAGGTGTATATCAGCACTAAACTCATAACCACCACTGATAACAACATGCTCAACACTGCTTTGTCCTGCTCTGGTAATGGACAGCCAAATTGTGTATTGGATTAGGCCAAGCTAATCAAAGCAGCAGATCTATGAAGAATGGGATGTTATTGATTAGGACATGGGCCTTCAATGCCACCGAGAGCACCGTGATGATAACATCTCTTATTTACCAAACAGGCTGATGAATCACAGCCACAGATAAGAGGCGCTACAATGCCCTTGAGTTAACCAGACTGAGGCACAGGGAGGAGAGCGGAGAGGAGAGGAGGGGAGAAGAGAGGACAGGGGAGGGGAGAGGAGAAACTCAGAGTTGGTCACAGACTAAAGACAGTCAGCGAGTTGAAGTAGTAAGCTGAGAATGTTCTGTCACTAAGTGCTGCTCATGGGACTTTTCCTTTCCATTAACCTTCCTACCTCTAAGGAAAATCAACTTATCTGACACAATTTGTCCATGTTTAAATGTCTATGGTAATATCAGCAGGCTAGGTATTTCTCAAAGCAGTGAGAATTCAGTTCAGACCGCACTGTTGTTTTAAACCATGGTATGGAGTGTGTTGACTAGAGATAACCACAGACAGCTGTGCTGAGGCCTCTGGAATGAGGCAGGGTGTTGTCAACCTGTCAGTAATTGATTTTTTGATAGGGTCAACATGCCTATACATAATTGAACAGCGGAGAGATTACTGGGAAAAGCAATGTCACAGTGGCCTCCGATTTACATTGAGCGCTGCAAGCGATAATGTGTTCTTATAGGTTTAAAATTGATAAATGATTGGATTGGGATGCTCTCTCCATATTTACCTGAGCCATTTGCTTAATTCCCTATATTAATTCCCTATTCTTGTCAATGGCTTACCACTAAGAGTGGAGAGCATTGTCATCTTGAAGACCTTACTGCCTCAATGAATTGGGGGAATACGCACCAGGTTCTGTGTCAGGGAAATATTGGTCCCCTGGGTGTTTGTTTGGTGGAAACTGGTCCACTCCCTCCCATATGTCTGAGACTAGCGAATCATCACTTGGCTCACAGGGTTTCCCGTCCCAAATGGCACCCTATTTAGTGCACTACTTTTGACCAGGAGCAATAGGGCTCTGCAAAAGTAGTGCACTATATAGGTAATAGGGTGCCATTTGGGACTACTGGAGGAAGGAGGGATCTACAAGGAGGACATATCCTCAATACTGATTAGTTAAAGCAGCCTGTGTAGCTATGTGTAGGGAATCATAATACATGTGTTCCAAGGAGAAACTATTCATCATGGTTTGTTCTGAGATACAGTGCCTTCAGAAAGTATTCATACCCCTTGACTTTTTCCACATTTTGTTGTTGCAGCCTGAATTTAAAATTGATTAAATTGAGATGTCACTGGCCTACACAATACCCCATAAGTGGAATTATTTTGACAAATGAATTACAAATGAAAAGCTGAAATGTCTTCAGTCAATAAGTGTTAAACCCCTTTGTTATGGAAAGCCTAAATAAGTTCAGGAGTGAAAATGTGCTTAACAAGTCACATAATAAGTTGCTTGGACTCACTCTGTGTGCAATACTAGTGTTTAACATTATTTTTGAATGACTACATAATCTCTGTACTCCGCACATACAATTATCTGTAAGGTCTCTCAGTCGAGCAGGGAATTTCAAACAAAGATTCAACTACAAATACCAGGGAGGTTTTCCAATGCCTCGCAAAGAAGGGCACCTATTGGTAGATGGGTAAAAACAAAAAAGCAGACATTGAATATCCCTTTGAGCATGGTGAAGTTATTACTTACACTTTGGATGGTGTATCAATACACCCAGTCACTACAAAGATACAGGCGTCCTTCCTAGCTAAGTTGCTGGAAAGGAAGAACATCGCTCCTGGATTTCACCATGAGGCCAATGGTGACTTTAAAACAGTTAGAGTTTAATGGCTGTGATAGGAGAAAAGTGAGGATGGCTCTCCACAATACTAACCAAAATGACAGAGGGAAAATAAGGAAGCCTGTACAGAATAAAAATATTTCAAAACATGCATCCTGTTTGCAATAATTTACTGGAGTAAAACTGCAAACATTTGGAAAATAAATTAACGTTGTGTCCTGAATACAAAGCGTTATGTTTGGGGCAAATCCAATACATCACTGACTACCACTCTTCATATTTTCAAGCATGGTGGTGGCTGCATCATGTTATAGGTATGCTTGTCATCGGAATAGAGCTAAGCACAGGCAAAATCCTAGAGGAAAACCTGGTTCATTTTGCTTTCTTACAGACACTGGGAGATGAATTCACCTTTCAGCAGGAAAATAACCTAAAACACAAGGACAAATCTACACTGGGGTTGCTTACCAAGATGACATTGAATGTTCCGGAGTGGCCTAGTTAAATTTGACTTAAATCTACTTAAATCTATGGCAAGACTTAAATGGCTGTCTAGCAATGATCAACAACCAACTTGACAGAGCTTGAAGAATTTTACAATCCAGGTGTGCAAAGCTCTTAGAGACTTACCCAGAAAGACATATAGCTGTAATCGATGTAAAAGGTGATTCATACATGTATTGACTCAGGGGTGTGAATACTTGTGTAAATGAGATATTTCTGTATTTCATTTTCAATAAATTTGTCATTATGGGGTATTGTGTGTAGATGGGTGAAAAAAAAGTATAGATTTAATCACATTTTAATTCAGTCTGTAATACAACAATTTGGAATATGTCAAGGGGTATGAATACTTTCTGAAGGCACTATGTATTTATGATGTTATGGATGGACTGCTTCTTTGTATTTGAATTTATTAAGGATCCCCGTTAGCAGTTGCCAAGGCAGCAGCTACTCTTCCTGGGGTCCAGCAACATTAAGGCATACAATTTAAAATATTACATGACATTACATTTCATAACACTTTTCACAACATATTAAGTGTGTTCCCTCAGGCCACTACTCTACAACCACATATCTACAATACAAAATCCATGTGTGTGTAGAGTGCGTTTCTTATGCGTGTGTCTGTGCCTGTGTGTGTGTGTGTGTGTGTCTCTTAACAGTCCCCGCTGTTCCTTAAGATGTATTTTTTATCTGTTTTTAACTGATTCTACTGCTTGCATCAGTTAACAGCATCATGGAATTCTAATCCACATCAGGTAAGATCTATGCTTCCCTCTACCATCTTTTGTGTTTTTAATTAAGCTGGAATCCTCAGTTGCTACATCTAATTTTTGATTTATAAATTAATTATACCTATTTGATTTTTGAAGAATATAGCTTATTAACTGTCGTACCCCCATCAAAACCCTAAATATAAGCTTGTTTTACTCCAGTGTTTGTGAACAATGTAAATGTAAACACATTTTATAGCCTCGAAACATGGTTAAAACTATAATGTTGATATCACGTATGGTAGATCCTTGCATTCATAGCTCTGTCTATTAATTTGATAGTAGTTACATTTCTCCATGCCCATCCCTCAGCATTTTACCAAAACAGAGGCAGGATTTCTGCTTTGTTATTGTTTAAATTAAGGATTCTAACTTTAACCTAGTTTAAATCTCCTTCTTTCTCAGGGGTAAATAGTCGATATGCTGAAGGGAATCACACACAAATGGGCACCATATAGACCCTTGTATTGCATTAGGATTCAATGCCCAAGGATTAGAGAAAAATCACTGACCTTTCTTGTTGAGTCTGTGCATAGTGAATGTTATCGTTGGTGAGCAGTGAGCAGAGAAAGTTGTTGCTTTCTCCTACATAGATTGGAGGCACATGGAGAGTGGCAGGTCCTGACCGGCCTGGGCACTATGGGGGAAGAGAGGCCTGAGAAAAGCAGATAAACAACCCCGGTGGTCTGACACACCTGCCAGGAAACCCGGCTGCATCTAATTCCCTGACCATGTTACCTTCCCTCTGTCCTCGTTCACTTCCCTTCATGGATCTCACTGAGACAACTGGGTTGGTGTAAGCAATAGCTCCCCTAGCACCTAGTTGTACGCCATATTAGTTTCACATAATATCCAGTCCTATCAGATCAGTGAAGGAGTGTAAATGAGGGCAGATGGAAGGGAGCACATTTCTGGAATGAGACACAGGAGAGTCCAGGGGAACAACAGCTGCATGTGACCAGCAAAAAGGCAACATACAGGCAGCAATCGGGAAGCAAACATTCAGTGACACTATGCTTCCCTCTCAGCTGGGGCCTAAGCCTCACCGCACACTCAACCCTCCTATATCATGAGTGTTGCAATGCTTTTGCCACTCTGTAATGGCCACTAAAGTGAGAATTTATGTTATCTTTGCCCCAGGGTTCCTTCGTGACACCGTTAATGGGGTTGTTAACTGAATGTGCCCAGACAATACAATACACCTCACACACATACCGTACCTGTACAGCATAGGCTCCTTAGAGGGGTTAAATAAATGTCTCTCTCGAGATGATTTTATTTGGTCTTACCTCAGGTTTCAGCTAGTCCGGTGCCGGAGGGCTGTGTTGTAAATGTCTACTTTTTTTATCACCGAAAAAGGAGCTTTACATTTTTTGTTTTGATTACTATTCTGTTTTGGCTTCCATGTCAGGCAGGACTGGGTGTATTGGGGTCTGTGTTATACAGAGGGGTCTGAAATTATTGACACTCTTGATAAAGATGAGCAAAAATGACTGTATAAAATAAATTAATCAAATACTGAGATATATTGTAATTAAAATACTGACCTATCCACCACTTGTGTGCATGGCCAAAGAGTAATATTTTCATGTCATCTGACCAAAGCACCGGTTCCAATCCAAGTGCCAACGCAAACTTCAGGCGTTTGTTGGACGACTCGAAAATAGAGCTCTTTACCACGCACACCAATGAAACCCTTCTTCCATCGCCAACAGACAACAGTATGACATTGCTTATCACTTTCCTTATCCACGCACAGATGGAGACAAAAAAAACATGCAAACTTCTCTTCCAATATTTCCTGTATGAGTGGGTGCAGTTTTAGTTATCGTTCCCCTATTGCAGTACAATGCCTTTTTTATAGGTCTACTTGCTAATTATTTCTGCTTATAATGCCGTGGATCCAAAAAAGCTATTAGTGGTCTGTGTTTATTTTTGCCAGACTTGATTTCATTTAAATTGGATATTATTTTGTTGTAAAGAGGTATAGAAGAGCGTTGGCTATGTCAGTGTAGTTGTTACACAGTGATCATTGGGCCTAATGCCTGTGGCAGACAAAGGCCTCATCTGGAAATGCTGTAGCTGCCTCTCTCTGCAACGGGAAATTAAAATGGTGCATTGTCAAGTAAATATGTCCCCAAATGCAGGAAAACATTCTGTAACATACAGGAACTCGAGTCCTTCTGTTCACCCGACCTAGAATATCTCACAATCAAATGCAGACCGTATTATCTCCCAAGATAATTTTCTTCAGTTATAGTCACGGCCGTGTATATCCCCCCTCAAGCCGATACCACGACGGCCCTCAAAGAACTTCACTGGACCTTATGCAAACTGGAAACCATATATCCTGAGGCTGCATTTATTGTAGCCAGGGATTTTAACAAAACAAAATTGAGGACTAGGCTGCCGAAGTTCTATCAACATATCGACTGTTGTACTCACGCTGCCAAGATCCTCAACCATTACTATTCGATCTTCCGGGATGGTTATAAGGCCCTACCCCACCCTCCTTTCGGCAAATCTGACCACGACTCCATTTTGCTTCTCCCTTCCTATAGGCAGAAACTCAAACAGTAAGTACCAATGCTAAGGACTATTCAATGCTGGTCTGACCAATCGGAATCCACACTGCAAGATTGTTTTGATCACGCGGACTGGGATATGTTCCGGGTAGCTTCCGAAAATAATTTAGAAGAATACACTGAAACGTTGACTGAGTTTATCAGGAAGTGTATAGGTGATGTTGTGCCCACTGTGACTTTTAAAAACCTACCCTAACCAGAAACCGTGGATAGATGGCACCACCACATTCAACCATGGCAAGGTGACTGGGAATATGGCAGAATACAAACAGTGTAGCTACTCACTCCGCAAGGCAATTATACTGGCAAAACATCAGTATAGAGACAAAGTGGAGTCGCAATTCAACGGCTCAGAAAAAAGACGAATGTGGCAGGGTCTACAGGCAATCACGGACTACAAAAGGATATCAGCTACGTCGCCAACACCGACGTCTCGCTTCCAGACAAGCTAAACACCTTCGCCCGCTTTGAGGATAACACAGTGCCACTGACGAGGCCCACTACCAAGGACTGTGGCCTCTCCTTCTCCATGGCCGACGTGATTAAGACATTTAAGCATGTTAACCCCCGCAAGGCTGCCGGCCCAGACGGCATCCCTAGCCGCGTCCTCAGAGCATGCGCAGACCAGCTGGCTGGTGTGTTTATGGACATATTCAATCTCTCCCTTTCCCAGTCTGCTGTTCCCACATGCTTCAAGATGGCCACCATTGTTCCTGTACCCAAGAAAGCAAAGGTAACTGAACTAAATGACTATTGCCCTGTAGCACTCACCTCTGTCATCATGAAGTACTTTGAGAGACTAGTCAAGGATCATATTACCTCTACCTTACCTCAGCCTAGACCCACTTAAATTTGCTTACTGCCCCAATAGATCCACAGAAGATGCAATCGCCATCACACTGCCCTATCCCATCTGGACAAGAGGAATACCTATGTAAGAATGCTGTTCATTGACTATAGCTCAGCATTCAACACCATAGTACCCTCCAAGCTCATCATTAAGCTCGAGGCCCTGGGTCCGAACCCGCCCTGTGCAACTGGGTCCTGGACTTCCTGACGGGCCGCCCCCAGGTGGTGAAGGTAGGAAACAACATCTCCACTTCGCTGATCCTCAACACTGGGGCCCCAAAAGTGTGCGTGCTCACCTATACTCCCTGTTCACCCATGACTGCGTGGCCAAGCATGCCTCCAACTCAATGATCAAGTTTGCAGACGACACAACAGTAGTAGGCTTGATTACCAACAATGACGAGACCGCCTACAGGGAGGAGGTGAGGGCTCTGGGAGTGTGGTGCCAGGAAAATAACCTCTCACTCAACATCATCAAAACAAAGGAGATGATTGTGGACTTCAGGAAACGGCAGATGGTGCACCCCCTTATCCACATCGACGGGACCGCAGTGAAGAAGGTGGAAAGCTTCAAGTTCCTTGGCGTACACATCACCAACAAACTGAAATGGTCCACCCACGCAGACAGTGTGGTGAAGAAGGCGCAACAGAGCCTCTTCAACCTCAGGAGGCTGAAGAAATTCGGTTTAGCACCTAAAACCCTCACAAGCTTTTACAGATGCACAATTGAGACCATCCTGTCAGGCTGTATCACCGCCTGGTACGGCAACTGCACCGCCCGCAACCGCAGGGCTCTCCAGAGGGTGGTGTGGTCTTTCGAACGCATTACCGTGGGCAAACTACCCACCCTCCAGGACACATACAGCGCCCGATGTCACAGGAAGGCCAAAAAGATCATCAAGGACATCAAATCAAATCAAATCAAATTGTATTGGTCACATGCGCCGAATACAACAGGTGCAGACATTACAGTGAAATGCTTGCTTACAGCCCTTAACCAACAGTGCATTTATTTTTAACAAAAAAAGTAAAAATAAAACAACAACAAAAAAAGTGTTGAGAAAAAAAAGAACAGAAGTAAAATAAAATAACAGTAGGGAGGCTATATATACAGGGGGGTACCGTTGCAGAGTCAATGTGCGGGGGCACCGGCTAGTTGAGGTAGTTGAGGTAATATGTACATGTGGGTAGAGTTAAAGTGACTATGCATAAATAATTAACAGAGTAGCAGCAGCGTAAAAAGGATGGGGTGGGGGGGCAGTGCAAATAGTCCGGGTAGCTATGATTAGCTGTTCAGGAGTCTTATGGCTTTGGGGTAGAAGCTGTTGAGAAGTCTTTTGGACCTAGACTTGGCACTCTGGTACCGCTTGCCGTGCGGTAGCAGAGAGAACAGTCTATGACTAGGGTGGCTGGAGTCTTTGACAATTTTGAGGGCCTTCCTCTGACACCGCCTGGTATAGAGGTCCTGGATGGCAGGAAGCTTGGCCCCAGTGATGTACTGGGCCGTACGCACTACCCTCTGTAGTGCCTTGCGGTCGGAGGCCAAGCAGTTGCCATACCAGGCGGTGATGCAACCAGTCAGGATGCTCTCGATGGTGCAGCTGTAGAATTTTTTGAGGATCTGAGGACCCATGCCAAATCTTTTCAGTCTCCTGAGGGGGAATAGGCTTTGTCGTGCCCTCTTCACGACTGTCTTGGTGTGTTTGGACCATGATAGTTCGTTGGTGATGTGGACACCAAGGAACTTGAAGCTCTCAACCTGTTCCACTACAGCCCCGTCGATGAGAATGGGGGCGTGCTCAGTCCTCTTTTTTTCAACCACCCAAGCCACTGCCTGTTCATCCCGCTATCATCCAGAAGGCGAGGTCAGTACAGGTGCATCAAAGCTGGGACCGAGAAAATGAAAAACAGCTTCTATCTCAAGGCCATCAGACTGTTAAATAGCCATCACAAGCACATTAGAGGCTGCTGCTGACAATTGAAATCACTGGCCAATTTAAGAAATGGAACACTAGTCACTTTAATAATGTTTACATATCTTGCACTACTCATCTCATATGTATATACTGCATTCTATTCTATAATATTCTACTGTATCTTAGTCCATGCCGCTCTGTCATTGCTTGTCCATATCTGTATATATTCTTAAATCCCATTACTTACTAGTTTTGTGTGTATTGGGTATATGTTGTGAAATTGTTAGATATTACTTGTTAGATATTACTGCACTGTTGGAGCTAGAAGCACAAGCATTTCACTACACCCGCTATAACATCTGCTAAGCACGTGTATGTGACAAATAACATTTGATTTGATTTGATGAATTAAATATTTTGTCTAGCAGACATGATATATATGTGTGTGTGTGTGTGCATGCTCATGTCTGTCTGAGTGGTTAGAGTGTGTGTATGTGGGCTGAGAATAAAGGGTATATGATTTCGTAATGGATGTTCTGGATTAATAATGTGATAAGTGCCCCTGTCATTGTTTTAGATGGCCGTTCTTTAGAGCAGTACCTGCCTTTTTATGATCATCCTTTATTTGTGGTTTGCATTGAGTATGACATGAATGTGCTAATGCTGTTTCTCTCCTCAGCTGAGAGGTCTTTTGTCCTTAATTGCGCCCAAAGTGTTCACATGTACCATAGCTGCCTTGGTAGACTGGGATACACACCCGCACGCATCTCACACATCCACCCACCCCCACACACGATCAACCTCACTGCAGTAAGTCAGAACTCCTTAAAGTGCAACTGAATTCAAAAAAATATTTTCTCTGGTTGAAAACGGCCTATCTGGCATCTATATTACTCAAACATTTATTCCAGTGCCAAAATGAAATAAAAAGTCTAAGTAAGATAATTTGGGTCATAAAGTCAGTATATTCCAAAACAGAGTTTTGTGAGATTTGTGTAACTGAGGTCGCCATGACTTAAATGAGGGTTAGGTTTTGATTTAAATCCTGCCCACACGGGACAACTGCCTGGCACAGTCTAATCATGGCTGGCAGTAATCAAATCATCCTGATCACAGCTGCCCGGTGTGCTGCAGTGCAAGCTATCCAATTGCTCACCAGAATCAACCTACAACCCGCCCATTTATTTACAGACAGCCTGGAGCGCCTCGGATTTATTTAGACAACAATATATACAAGACATCGTCGCAAATGTTATGTTGAAAGAACAATAGTTTTTTTCTAAACAGCTTGGGTTTTCTCCAACTCAAACATCATCACACTCATGAGCTAACGTTGGCATGACACACAACTTTCCATTCAAAGATGGCTACATTTAGAAAGCAGGAAATGCAGTACGCGCAAAGCATGGGATTCCCTGACCAATCACGTTCACACTGTCAAGAGGGACAAAAAAACATTACTGCTGGGATATGATATAGCAAACATAACACACCCACATCGAACCATACCCCCAAGACACAAATCTAGTTCTTGTTAATGAGCACCGGAAAAGCCCAGGTGGAATCTATAAATTCGGCCCCTCTTTAATGTGGTAGATATAGATGATGGTTAAAATGATTGCGGTAAGATATGGTCAAATACATCACCCTACTTGTCTCTTATTTATGTGGTCAAAACTTATTGAAAGCAACAAGATTTCTACACACCCGTTTTTTATGCCAACCTTGTGAACAACTTTAGCAGGAAGCAGAAAGACTGGTGTTGACAGAGGCCAGTAACAGTCTCTCTGAGGGTGGTAGGATGTGTTAAAAGGGAATGCTCAGTGGAGACATCAACATGCTAGCACACTGTGCAGGTGAAGTAGTGATGGCTAGTGCACTCCAGAGGACCTTTGACTTTGTACTACCCACCACCAAAGAGCCTTACAGGGGATTCTGGAAGTGAAGTGTAGCTCAGTCTAAAGGCTTCTTTGCAACTGCACCACAGGGAGACCCAGGGAAGACTCAGACCTGTAGGAGGCAGGCATTGATGGGAATGGTAGTGGTTTGAAACACTACAGATAATTGTCTATGTAGAATATATTATGAAGAATAATCAGGTGAGCCAATGCAAGCCATGTGCCAGTATATAGATATATCCTTCTTCCAAATCTCACCTGCTGTTTCACGATGATCCAAACCCTCTGAAATTGAAGTGGGATCCAGCCTCTCTCTATGCCCTTCCCGTTGTCCAACTCAATAAGCTGAGCCATGGCAAGGCAACAGAGCAAAGCCATAGGGAGAGCAGATTAGCCTTGCTTTGTCCCTTCCAACTTGGCTCACACCACCCTAACCTCCATTCTCATTTTTAAAAAAGCCAATAGCCATGGCTTAAGTCTCTCTCTCTCTCTCTCTCTCTCTCTCTCTCTCTCTCTCTCTCTCTCTCTCTCTCTCTCTCTGTCTCTCGCTCTGTCTGTCTCTCTCTCTCTGTCGCTCTCTCTCTGTCTGTCTGTCTGTCTGTCTGTCTGTCTGTCTGTCTCTGTCTCTGTCTCTCTGTCTCTCTGTCTCTCTGTCTCTCTCGCTCTTTCTCTTTCTCTTTCTCTTTCTCTTTCTCTTTCTCTTTGTCTCTGTCTGTCTCTGTGTGTGTATAATTCTGCCTTTTGGATGGCTTAGTCACTGGGAGAGCCACTTGGATAAAGAATAAAGCAGAGTGGGGTGGAAGAAATCAGAGGTTTAGTTTAATAAGTCCTGTCAATGGTGTTCTGCCTGTAAACAAATAGGGGTGACAGATGACAGAGTGTCGAAGCTTGGGCCTGTCTCTCAGGCACACCACCTGTCCTGGACGGTTAGTCCTCAAGGAAATGTGCCTCTCAGAGAGATGCCAGAGAGTGCAGGACCTGCCAGCTCTCATTAGCATATTGCTCACAGTGTTTCTTTTTGGGGGGGATTATGTGCAGTCATTAGTCATGATTTTCTCTCCTGTCTCTTCACCCCACTCTGTCAATTGCCAAATCTCCGCAGGGGAATTATGAATTATGTTTGTTTCACTAAGTGAAGTGCTGGTTGGCTGTAGTAGTGATTATTTTTTTTGTTCATCTCCAGAGAGGCATGCTCCATGTGTTCCAGTAGAATTCAAATTTGTTTGGAGTATAGCAGGGGACCGAGTACCAACAACAACTTTGCTGTAAAATCTGTTTGGAGACTAACAGGCAGCTGAGTTTGTTTGTTAACATCATCCATACACTACTTTACTCACAACCTCAACATAATGTAGGCTAGCTGATTTGGTTCTGAGTGGCATGATTTATTCCTATACATACAGCTGACCTTTAAATATGTCTCCTGTTCTGTATCTTCAAGCAACAGGACATGGACATGTTCCTGCTGCTATTCAGTGTGGTGTTTAATTGTTATGAAATGCAATACATGTTTTTTCTGTCCCAAGCCTCACACAATACATATTTTCTTTAATCCTGTGTTTGGGAGGGCTGCAGGCTATTGAGGCTCTGAAAATGAGGAAAGAAACATGACAGGTCCCTAATCCCATGGCTCAGATTAAAAATGGAAGCCTTTATCAATACAGAACTATATAACAGGTCTCTGCAAAGATTTCAGCTGGGGAGTTTTGCGCTGTGGCGCTAAGAGGATTTCAGAGGGAGACTCCATTGGTACGGACACGTTTTTAATGTGCTTGTTCAAAAAATTTGCTGCATTTGAATTGTGGTTGCTATGCTTGTGTAACTATAGTTTATACTATGTGTTATTGTGTCAGGGTAACTGTTACCTCAGAGTTTTCCTCCTCCAGTACCCCCAACATTACATATTTGTGTTGTGGCCCCGGACAAGGACACCTGATTCTAATTTTAAACTAATCATCAAGCCCTTGACAAGTTGAATCAGGTGAGTTTGTTCGGGCTATAACAAAAATGTGTGCTGTTGCGGGTACTGGAGGACCGGAGTTGGGAGACAGTGCTGTACATAGAGTATAATTTTGAAGCAGGTCTGATGTGAAGCTTGTTAGTGGGGATGATGATGATGTGCTAGCCCAGGGTTTCCCAACCCCTGTCCTTAGGGCACACCTGATGAACTGGCACACCTGATTAAATTAGTCAACTAATCCACAAGCCATTGATTAATTGAATCAGATGTGCCAGTTTAGGGTTAAACCAAAAATGTTAAACATCTGTGGGAGCCCGAGGAGAGGGTTGGGAAACCCTACTCTAGCTAAGTTTTTTTGTTTGTTAGCAGTATTAGGCCTCACACACAACAGAATCCCTTAAGTGAGTCTTGGAAGGCTGCCTATTTAATCTGTGATGCACTTTCAATATTCAAGCAGAGAGCAAGAGGACGGGGAGAACATAACCACATTAGGCACACACTGATTAGGGCAGAGTGTCAGGCCTCCTAAAAGCCTAATGTATTTTTACCACACTTGAAAAACGATTGATTAGTACTACCAGACAGCTGTGTGTGTGTGGTAAATATTTGATCCGGTCCCATTCCACTCTCCCTTAAAGACAACATTTTGTTAAGATCTCTCAACTTCAGTTAGCACACTCTAAGCACTCCAAGGACTGAGCACCAGAGGTCCTGTATATGTTCTCGGTACATTGTTTCTTTCTCCAAAGAACACTTGATCCAGACAGTAAATTACTTACTGGCTGTTTTTTATTTAAATAACACTTGATCCAGACAGTAAAATCACTTACTGGCTGTTGCATTATTTAAATAACACTTGATGCAGATAGTAACCTCGCTTACTGGCTGTTTCTTTATTTAAATAACACTTGATCCAGACAGTAACCTCCCTTACTGGCTGTTTCTTACCCCCATGCAGGGCTGAAGGTGCGTGAGGTGTTGATCAACGTGTCCCGTCAGCAGGTGGAGGACTTTCACGGCCCAGAGGACTACTGGTGTCTGTGTGTGGCCTGGAGCCACCTGGGCACCTCCAAGAGCCGGAAGGCCACTGTCCACATCGCATGTGAGTCGCCTACTACAGTACTGTATCACCCATAGCAGTTTTTCCCAATCCTAGTCCTGGGGACCCAAAGGTGTGCACATTTTAGTTTTTGCCCTAGCACTTAGATTATTGATTCAACTAATCAACTCATCATCAAGCCTTTAGTTTAATCAGGTGTGTTAGTGCTAGAGCAAAAATGAAAATGTGCACCCTTTCTTTTTGGTCCCCAGGTCCATGAAACACTGACCCATAGAACTAGAATGAGTAGAACGGACGTCTCCGTTCAGTTAAATTATGCCATTATGGGTGGACTGGTGTCATTTTGAGTGTCCCCATGAGTTTACCAGTCAAATTGCCATGGTCGGAGACTGAGGTTCTAAGCCTGTTCTACTCATATTTATAAAGCACCACAGTCTCACATTATGGCTAATGGCCAAAACTGCACTGCAGGAGTAGATGGATAGAAAGCAGACGTGCTACTTAGCAAAATAATTATCCCCCATGACATATACTTTTAAGTTTAATGGGCATATTATATTATATATGAATATGTACTCATCAGCCTGTGTAGTCTGTCCTCCAAATGACCTTGGCAACCTGCAGATAGATGGAGCTGGGTTGGAAGAAAGGAAAGGAGACCACCTCCTGGTTCATTCATACCCGTTCCTCACTCCCAAGGTTGATGTCTTGTCCAAACCAAATGCAGGGAGAGTGGCAGTGGCAAGTGGTGTTAGTGATGGGGAGATTGAGGGCAGGCTGGGCATTGGGTGGACTGACAGCAGGGTGTTATCTCCCTACACAGACCTGAGGAAGAACTTTGAGCAGGACCCCCAGGGGAAGGAAGCTCCAATCAAAGGGATGATCGTGCTGCACTGCCGCCCCCCAGAGGGAGTGCCAGCAGCAGAGGTAAGAACCCAGCTTCCCAGCCCTTAACACTTACGACCCCTCCAACAGTGTGGGAGCCTCTCTGTGTAGGGAAACAGCTTACCTTACACTCCAGGCTGTTGAGAGGCTCTAGAATGGAGCATTTCAACTCTTATAAAGCAGGGGGGAAACTATATTTATTCCCAACTGTGTAGTGTCAGCGGTAGGCATGCACTACACACTGTGATGTTTTTATGATGACAGTGTTGTTGTTGTTGGATGCACAGTTAAAAAGAAAAGTACATACAGTATTATTGAAATGCAGTGTCTATAGTTAATCAATATGAACTATAGCTCTGTGGTGCATGTGTGGGTTTAAGTGGATTTTTTGAGTTATGAATGATTCAGCGTGGAAAGGATGGTGGGGTGATGCTAGCCTGGTTTGCGTCCCAAATGGCACCCTATTCGCCATGTAGTGCACTACTTTCAATCAGAGCCTGATGGTCAAAAGTAGTGAACTGTATGGAATAGGGTGCCATTTGGGACGCAAACCAGGCTGAGAACAGCCCAGAGTCTCCCCTCCAGTCCTTTGTCAACATAAATGAACCCAGCCAGAAGTGAATACTGTGTAACACAGAGCAGGCGTTCACAGCTCAGACCATTCCATTGTACAGTACCCACCTCTTCATGAAATATTGAGATTGCAAGTGTAGTGTGAGGTTTTTGGGAGCCTTTTTTCAGCAGGCTGGCTGGCTGGCTGTGGGATGGATGCTGCTCCCGCTCACTCCACTCCCAGCTGTAATAGAATGTGAGTTGGTGGTTTTGATGCAGTGTAAACATCCTTCTGGAGGAACGTGTTCGGAAACTCCTTCGGTCAGCAATGATGTTGAGGCGAGCTTATAGCTCGGAATTGGATACATTTTGCATCATTGTGGCTGAGACCGCTTATATAAGCCTGCGCCTAGCACTTTGGGAGAGGCTGAGATTGTCTCCTAGCTCAGTTCTCTGGCACACTACTTGCATAAGGGAAATGTGACACTGGAGTTACTGCTCTGCTCTCAACTTGGCTCTCCATTTCACTTCTCTCAATTTTTTCAGGCACACATTTTCAAGTGAGGCTTTTAAGTGAGTTGCTTTGAAAACACACTCCATTTTGGCATTTAATTCGCATTCAAATCAGATATATATGGACATTGCAAATGTGCTGAAGCAAAGCGCAAGAAAATACTCTTCATTTTACATTAAAGATTAAGTGTAAGATGTTGTTTATAATTTTCACTTCATAAGGTGTTTCATTAAAATATGAATCCAACTTCAGTCATTCAGGTAACCAAGCACATTAGGAATAGGAGAAGTATACAATTATATATTCCTATCCACCACAAGGATAATAATACATAGCCTACTCGTACCAATTTTTATTTTGTTTGATCTGCCATTATCTTTTGCATTTTAGCACCGAAGCAGCGGTTAGTGAAGTTAACTAAAGTCAAAAATGTGTGGGTATAATTGACTTGGGTTTCATATTTTTTCATCATAACACATTTACTCTTGTATTAAAGAAGTAATTAATATTTGAATGAGGAGTGTGAATATGGGTTACATTTGGACTGGAGCCAACGTCAGAGAGCCTTGCATAATGAGCCCATTCTAGGATAATCTGAAAGGAAAGTGTGAAATGAACAGCCAAACTATAAACCACCACACTTAATTTATGGAAATAAAATGAAAGATCTTAATGTGAAATGAAATGTATTGAACTCTCTCAGAAATGGGAACCCAGGCCATGACACACATACTGAACAATTTCAGGCCCGCGTCCCAAGTGGCACCCTAATCCCTAGTGTACTACTTTTGACCAGGGCCCATGGTGCACTATATAAGGAATAGGGTATCATTTGGGACGCACAAGGTGATAATTCCAAGTGTTTCAAATGTAATTAATCACAAATGGGAGAAAAAAATCCAATTTTAAATCACAGAGAAAAGAACACTGGCGTGCTGCTGTGTGATTATTTGTACTACATGCTACCTCCATTACTGCTTTTGACTAACTTAGCCAATTGAAGTGAAACTCAACAAAACCCACTAAACACAGCTTGTTAAACTCCTAGTTAAGTTCCATTGTGGCAAATAAGAAAGATATTACATTCCACATGTAATTGCCTTCCTTTCATGTTAGTTTCTTCCAAAATGCACAGACTTTACTATTGACATCAGAGTCATTTTAAATGGGTGATGCTATTGATTTACTGTAACTAATTTCAGATTTACTGAAACTAATTTCAGTGAATATGCTACTTTTTGGGCATATAAAGAATAGAATGTTAGCCAGCTTGATGTGGAGTATTTGTTGTACTCTGTTGAATTCATGTTTTGGGAAAGGTGCTCTATACTCCTACTTAGCTATACAAAACCATTACACATTCAGCCTTATGTGCTCACTTCGAGGCAAGCAACACTGAACCATGCATGAGAGCACCAGCTGTTCCCGCCAACTTTGATCTCGCTCTCCGATGTCTAAATGACAATCGCCCCGTAGCACACACATCTGTAGCCATGAAATGCTTTTAAATGCTGGCCATGGCACACATCAACAACATCATCCCAGACACCCTGGACCCACTACAATTCACATACCACCCCAACAGCTCCACAATGACGCAATCTCTATTGCATTCCACACAGCCCTCTCCCACCTGGACAAGAGGAACACCTATGTGAGAATGCTGTTCATTGATTACAGCTCAGCTTTCAACACCATAGTGCCCTCCAAGCTCATCACTAAGCTCAGGACCCTGGGACTGAACACCTCCATCTGCAACTGGATCTTAGACCTCTATACCAGGCTGTGTCAGAGGAATGCTCTAAAAATTGTCAGACTCCAGCCACCTAAGTCATAGAATGTTCTCTCTGCTACCGCACGGCAAATGGTACCGATGCACCAAGTCTGGAACCAACAGGACCCTGAACAGCTTCAACCCCCAAGCCATAAGACTGTAAATAGATAACCAAATAGATACAGGCACTATCTGCATCGATCCTTTTTGCACTAACTCTTTTGACTCATCACTTACGCTACTGTTCATTGTCTATCCTGTTGCCTAGTCACTTTACCCCTACCTATATGTACACTACATGACTAAAAGTATGTGGACACCTGCTCTTCGAACATCTCATTCCAAAATCATGGGCATTAATATGGAATTGGTCCTCCCTTTGCTGCTATAACAGCCTCCACTCTTCTGGGAAGGCTTTCCACTAGATATTGGAACATTGCTGCGGGGACTTGCTGCTGTTAAGCCACAAGCATTAGTGAAGTCAGGCACTGATGTTGGGTGATTAGGCCTGGCTCACAGTCGCCATTTCAATTAATCCCAAAGGTGTTTGATGGGGTTGAGGTCGCGGCACTGTGCAGGCCAGTCAAGTTCTTCCACACCGATCTCAACAAACCGTTTCTGTATGGACCTCGCTTTGTGCATGGGGGCATTGTCATGCTGAAACAGGAAAGGGCCTTTGACGAACTGACTTGTTAATAAGGTGGCATCCTATGAGGGTGCCATGTTGAAAGTTACTGAGCTCTTCAGTAAAGCCATTCTACTGCCAATGTTTGTCTATGGAGATTGCATGGCTGTGTGCTCGATTTTTATACACCTGTCAGCAACGGGTGTGGCTGAAATAGCCGAATCCACTAATTTGAAGGGGTGTCCACATTCCCCTATCTTTTTTTTATTAGCCTCTTGTGTAGCAAACCCATTAGCGGTGGAGATAGCTCTGACACAGCCCTCCGCTCCCCTGTCTGTATGTATACATGCAAAGTTCAAAGCCTTTGGTTTGGCTCAATCTGTGTGTGTGTGCAGGTGCGTCTTCGTGCATGTGTGTGTACATCTCTGTTCGTACACCTCAGGGTGGATTACTAACACACTTGACGTTGGCTACTGACTCGGTGTTCAGTGGGGCTCCATGGCATCAACCAGTCCCTGGGTCTTGTCTGTTAGTTGTTTAATCCATGTAATTGTCTTGATGAGATACACAGGAATGAAAAAAGTTATCCCACCCACACTGTCACAGGCTCCACAACGTGCATCTATAGGCCTTCCATGGCTCCTCAGCACAGCTGGCTGAAGGGGAGCACTACTAACTGTTTGCGCCCCAGATGGCACTGTATTGCCTATGTAGTGCACTACTTTTGACTATGCCATAGGACTCTGGTCAAAAGCAGTGCACCATATAGGAAATATGGTGCCGTTTGGACGCAACCTGTGATTCGCTCAGAGAATCAGCCATGACACGATGTGTCAGCATATCTATGCTTTTACCTGTTGCAGCTACAGTAGAGTAGGAAAGGACAAAGACAGCCATACAGTAGAGTAGGAAGGGACAAAGACAGCCATACAGTAGAATAGGAAGGGACAAAGACAGCCATACAGTAGAGTAGGAAGGGACAAAGACAGCCATACAGTAGAGTAGGAAGGGACAAAGACAGCCATACAGTAGAGTAGGAAGGGACAAAGACAGCCATACAGTAGAGTAGGAAGGGACAAAGACAGCCATACAGTAGAGTAGGAAGGGACAAAGACAGCCATACAGTAGAGTAGGAAGGGACAAAGACAGCCATACAGTAGAGCTTCTGAATGTCACCCAGAAAAGAAAAGCTGCACACTCTCATGGCCCCAATGCAATACATTTAATATAACATTTCCACAGCTATGCTGCCGAGTGTCACCCAGCTATATGTCTCAGATTTTATTTGTATCTTTATTCGGCATGATGACAGCTGATCTACCTGGGGTCCAAACACATAACAAAAATACATTACAGACATAAGACTTTACTGTCACCCACCCACCCAGGTCTCAGTTTCCTCTCCGCTCCGCTCCAGGAGAACAGACGTCCTCCCGGGTTCCCACAGACACACATGGCCTAGCCCTGGAACCCGGTTCTCTGTCAAGCCTGTGACACTGATGGCCGCCTCCTAATTGAAACAAATGTGCCAATTAGGCAATTCATCTCTCACATCCTCCGCCACCCACTTACAGGGCTAATTTGTATTTGTCCCCGTCACACTCATTCTTTTTTTTCTTCTCCTTCCGTTTCTGCCGGGTGGATCTTTTCATCATTACCCTAAGGCTGTTAGCAGCGGCAGGCGACAGCCCGGGAATGTAGAGCAGGTCCTACAGCTCATTGAGGGCCGGGCCGATTGGGCCACGCATTAATTGCCTCTTTCAACTCGCAAATTTCCCCTGATGAAATTGAAATAAATACATAAAGAGGGAAACACTCCTCTGCCACCGCCACTGCCGGCTCTCTTCCAGTGACAGATTGTTTTAATCATGAGACATTAGAGTCAATCCCCAGTCTTTTCCTCCCCTTATCTTCATACTTTAGTACATTAACTGCTTGCCTCTGATGCCATCTTGCTAAAGGGTATCTTTTAATTGCGCCTTGGAATCTGGAAACCATTGAAGGGGATTTACAAGTCTTGTTTAAAGTGAAGGGAAACAAGGCTTTAGCTATTCCTAGTTCTCCTGTTTCTAGGTCATAAAGTATAGTACTCATTGACGTTAGATAGGTTGTACATCAGGGTAGATCTGCGGTGGAGAATACAATAGGCCTATCTATGAAATATGATTGTGTATGTGTGTGTGTATACATACAGTGGGGAAAAAAAGTATTTAGTCAGCCACCAATTGTGCAAGTTCTCCCACTTAAAAAGATGAGAGAAGCCTGTCATTTTCATCATAGGTACACGTCAACTATGACAGACAAAATGAGAAAAACAAATCCAGAAAATCACATTGTAGGATTTTTTAATGAATTTATTTGCAAATTATGGTGGAAAATAAGTATTTGGTCAATAACAAAAGTTTCTCAATACTTTGTTATATACCCTTTGTTGGCAATGACACAGGTCAAACGTTTTCTGTAAGTCTTCACAAGGTTTTCACACACTGTTGCTGGTATTTTGGCCCATTCCTCCATGCAGATCTCCTCTAGAGCAGTGATGTTTTGGGGCTGTCGCTGGGCAACACAGACTTTCAACTCCCTCCAAAGATTTTCTATGGGGTTGAGATCTGGAGACTGGCTAGGCCACTCCAGGACCTTGAACTGCTTCTTACGAAGCCACTCCTTCGTTGCCCGGGCGGTGTGTTTGGGATCATTGTCATGCTGAAAGACCCAGCCACGTTTCATCTTCAATGCCCTTGCTGATGGAAGGAAGTTTTCACTCAAAATCTCACGATACATGGCCCCATTCATTCTTTCCTTTACACGGATCAGTCGTCCTGGTCCCTTTGCAGAAAAACAGCCCCAAAGCATGATGTTTCCACCCCCATGCTTCACAGTAGGTATGGTGTTCTTTGGATGCAACTCAGCATTCTTTGTCCTCCAAACACGACGAGTTGAGTTTTTACCAAAAAGTTCTATTTTGGTTTCATCTGACCCAATCCTCTTCTGGATCATCCAACTGCACTCTAGCAAACTTCAGACGGGCCTGGACATGTACTGGCTTAAACAGGGGGACACGTCTGGCACTGCAGGATTTGAGTCCCTGGCGGCGTAATGTGTTACTGATGGTAGGCTTTGTTACTTTGGTCCCAGCTCTCTGCAGGTCATTCACTACGTCCCCCCGTGTGGTTCTGGGATTTTTGCTCACCGTTCTTGTGATCATTTTGACCCCACAGGGTGAGATCTTGCGTGGAGCCCCAGATCGAGAGAGATTATCAGTGGTCTTGTATGTCTTCCATTTCTTAATAATTGCTCCCACAGTTGATTTCTTCAAACCAAGCTGCTTACCTATTGCAGATTCAGTCTTCCCAGCCTGGTGAAGGTCTACAATTTTGTTTCTGGTGTCCTTTGACAGCTCTTTGGTCTTGGCCATAGTGGAGTTTGGAGTGTGACTGTTTGAGGTTGTGGACAGGTCTCTTTTATACTGATAACAAGTTCAAACAGGTGCCATTAATACAGGTAACGAGTGGAGGACAGAGGAGCCTCTTAAAGAAGAAGTTACAGGTCTGTGAGAGCCAGAAATCTTGCTTGTTTGTAGGTGACCAAATACTTATTTTCCACCATAATTTGCAAATAAATTCATTAAAGATCCTACAATGTGATTTTCAGGATTATTTTTTCTCATTTTGTCTGTCATAGTTGACGTGTACCTATGATGGAAATTACAGGCCTATCTCATCTTTTTAAGTGGGAGAACTTGCACAATTGGTGGCTGACTAAATACTTTTTTCCCCACTGTATGTGCATTCAGTGCAATACACTGTGTGTAAATATTAGGAACACCTGCTCTTTCCATGATATAGACTGACCAGGTGAATCCAGTTACCTGTGTGTATCAAGAATGGTCCACCACCCAATGGACATCCAGCCAACTTGACACAACTGTGAGAAGCATTGGCCATTATCCCTGTGGAATGCTTTTGACACCTTGTAGTCCATGTCCCGACGAATTGAGGCTGTTCTGAGGGCAAAAGGGGGTGCAACTCAATATTAGGAAGGTGTTCCTAATGTTTTGTACACTCAGTGTGTGCGCACGTTTTTGCAGTTTGAAAACACGGCATGTGTTTGCAATTTGAAAGCACCCTGTGAATCCATCAACCAGCCCTATTCCACCGCAGTGTGAATATAATTTGCAAAAGCAGCGATGCAGTTCCATATAACATGGTAGGAGCATTGGAGCAATAAAGTGTCACTAAGTTTGTAATTCATAATTCATTGTGTTGCTAGTAATTGGTTATGGTCCTCTGAACGGCTGCGGTCATGTGGTTGGGTGATCTGGTGTGGTTGTATGGCTCTCTCGCTAACTCTCTCTCTGTCTCCCTCTTCTCTATCTTGCTCTCTCTCTTCTCTCTCGTGGGCAGGTGGAGTGGCTGAAGAACGAGGAGCTGGTGAGCTCCCTGACTGATGACAACATTGACACCCGAGCTGACCACAATCTCATCATCAACGAGGCACGACTGTCCGACTCGGGAAACTACACGTGCCTGGCCAGTAACATCGTGGCCAAAAGACGCAGTTCCACAGCCACTGTGGTTGTTTTCGGTAAGGCCCTGGTCCCAACCCCAGCCACTAACTGACTGTGTTTGTCTGTTGTAGGGTTTATTTCCTGGACACAGATTAAGCCTAGTCCTAGATTAAGAAGATACTCCATCGAACATGCTTTTTAGTGTAGGACTGGACTGGGCTTAATCTGTGTCTGGGAAACCAGTTTGTGGTGTTAACATGGTTTCTCAGATCAATTTGAGTGTTTCATGCTCCCCACACAAGTGATTAAGAGACCCATCTCAGTGTTTTTGTTAAGAAAGCTGTTTCCCTTTATTTAGATAAATGTATTATTCAAAGAGTCAATTGACTGCCTCCCCTTTGAAATCAATGTGTATTTTATGAAAGGGAATAAAATACTGTGTCTTAATCTCATTTAAAGGAGTGTTGCTTATTAATTACGCATTTGCTAGAGGCCTTGGAGCAATGTGTCGGTTCACAAAATGTTGGAAAAAATGTTCATCCACATCTCCACACATACAAATGACAGAGCAAACAAATCAGCCCAAAGGGGTTGACTACTCAGTAAAATAACCTCTCGTTCATTTGGATTTAAACTGCCCAACTATGTGAATGTGCCATGGCCTGTTTGAATGGATTAGTCTTACCAATTTTGTTCTTAGTTTTTTCTCCTTGATTCAAAGAGCTTTGACAATTGAAATGGCAATTAACATAAGAGTAGTGCACATTTTCCACATTTGATGTACTGTACATAATATGCTCAAGCATCTAGTGATGTAACATCATACAGCATTGCTAATCATTAATACCTCTAAACTGTTGTCTGTATAGTTAACTCTGTGGGAGATTTGATTAACTTAAAGGGCAAATCAGCTGTTGAAATAATAATAAAGTGTACGCCCCACCACTGTTTCAGTAAAAAGCTGAGGGATGGGGCTGGAGAAATGTAATCATTCTCAAATTCATAGACAGAGCTATGGATGCAAGGACTGATCATCCATGATATAAAAATTATCATTTTAACCACCGTGTTTTGAGGGTATTTAGGGTTTGTTTACATTTACTTTGTTTACAAACATTGGAGTAAAATAAGCTTATATTTTCAGTTCAGATAGGGTATGACAGTTGAACTAAGCTCATGAGACATTTCTAAGTCATATTCTAAAAGAATCAATGGGTACATACACTACATGACCAAAAGTATGTGGACACCTGCTCGTCGAACATCTCATTCCAAAATCATGGACATTAATATGGAGTTGGTCCCCCCTATGCTGCTATAACAGCCTCCACTCTTCTGGGAAAGCTTTCCACTAGATGTTGGAACATTGCTGCAGGGACTTGCTTCCATTCAGCCACAAGCGCATTAGTGAGATCGGGCACTGATGTTGATCGATTAGGCCTGGCTTGCAGTCGGCTTTCCAATTAATCCCAAAGGTGTTCGATGGGGTAAAGGTCAGGGCTCTGTGTAGGCCAGTCAAGTTTTTCCACACTGATCTCGTCAAACTATTTCTGTATGGACCTCGCTTTGTGCACGGGGGCATTGTCATGCTGAAACAGGAAAGGGCCTTCTCCAAACTGTTGGCACAAAGTTGGAAGCACAGAATCATCTAGAATGTCATTGTATGCTGTAGCGTAAAGATTTCCCTTCACTGGAACAAAGGGGCTTAGCCCGAACCATGAAAAACCTCCCCAGACTTTACAGTTGGCACTATGCATTCGGGCAGGTAGCGTTCTCCTGGCATCCGCCAAACCCAGATCCGTCTGTCGGACTGCCAGATGGTGAAGCGTGATTCATCACAACAGAGATCCCGTTTCCACTGCTCCAGAGTCCAATGGCGGCGAGCTTTACACCACTCCAGCCAACGCTTGGCGCAAATTGCGTACGGTGATCTTAGGCTTGTGTGCGGCTTCTCGGCCATGGAAACCCATTTCATGAAGCTCCCGACGAACAGTTGCTTCCAGAGGCAGTTTGGAACTCGGTAGTGAGTGTTGCAACCGAGGACAGAGGATTTTTACGTGCTAAGAGCTTCAGCACTCGGCGGTCCTGTTCTGTGAACTTGTGCTGCCTACCACTTCGCGGCGGAGCCGTTTTTGCTCCACTTCACAATTTTATACACCTGTCAGCAACGGGTGTGGCTGAAATAGCTGAATCCACTAATTTGAAGGGGTGTCCACATACTTATGTGTATATATAGTGTATCATTAATTTGTGTCAGAAAATGGATGTAGCAACTGTTGATTGCCCCTTTAAATAAAGTTTCCCTCTCTTTATCACCCTCTCTCCCTAACTAACCCCCCTCTCTCCCTAACTAACCCCCCTCTCTCCCTAACTCACTCCCCTCTCTCCCTAACTAACCCCCATATCTCCCTAACTCACCCCCATATCTCTCTCACCCACATCTATCTCTCTGTAGTGAATGGTGGTTGGTCGCTGTGGACAGAGTGGTCTCCCTGTAACGTTCCCTGTGGTCGGGGCGTCCAGAAACGCTCCCGTACCTGTACCAACCCGGCCCCACTTAACGGAGGGGCTTTCTGCGAGGGCATGTCTGTGCAGAAGATCACCTGTAATGCCCTCTGTCCAAGTAAGCTCCACTGCCTCATGAAGTACTGTAGAGCTGGTGATTACTTAGCCTTGTTCGACCATCATGATCTTGCGAGATCACATTCAGTTTCTCTACTCGCAGAGGTTTGTAGGTTAGACCAGGCAAGAATAGACTGGCATCTTCTGGGAGTGTCTCCAAGGGCAAAGCCATTTGACTTACAAGGACATACAGGTAGTGTCGTCAACTTTATGATTTGATGAATGTAGTAGGATGGTGTGCCATGCCGGCATCTAGGTGCAGAGTCAACATGCAAATACAACATCTGGCTATGCAAGACTATAAACACTTTATTATATTGTGTGTGAGTCCTCTAGTCTTTATAGTTTGTGTACAGGCTGAAACTGCCGCAAGTGGATCTTCCAGCAAGACGATAACCCCAATGGTTAATTGACCACAAAATCAACATTTTGCAATGGCCATCTCAGTCTCTGGACTTGAACCCCATTAAAAACCTGTGGTTTGAATTGAAGAGGGCAGTCCATAAGCGCAGACAAAGGATTTTAAAGATATGGAAATATTCTGAATGGAGGAATGGTCTAAGATCCCTCCCAATGTGTTCTCCAATCTCATAAAACATTTTAGAAAAGGGCTCAGTGTCGTTATCCTTGCAGGGGGAGGGTGCTGGAGTATTTTAATTTTTATTTAACCTTTATTTAACTAGGCAAGTCAGTTAAGAACAAATTCTTATTTACAATGACAGCTTACCAAAAGGCAAAAGGCCTCCTGCGGGGACGGGGGCTGGGATTAAAAATCAAAATATAGGACAAAGCACACATCACGACAAGAGAGACACCACAACACTACATGCTAAATGACTAAAATGTAAAGAGAGACCTAAGACAACAACATAGCATGGTAGCAACACATGACAACACAGCATGGTAGCAACACCACATGACAACAACATGGTAGCAACCAACATGGCAGCAGCACAACATGGTAGCAGCACAAAACATGGTACAAACATTATTGGGCACAGACAACAGCACAAAGGCAGAGGTAGAGACAACAATACATCACGTGAAGCAGCCACAACTGTCGGTAAGAGTGTCCATGATTGAGTCTTTGAATGAAGAGATGGAGATAAAAATGTCCAGTTTGAGTGTTTCTTGCAGCTCGTTCCAGTCGCTAGCTGCAGCGAACTGAAAAGAGGAGCGACCCAGGGATGTGTGTGATTTGGGGACCTTTAACAGAATGTGACTGGCAGAACAGGTGTTGTATGTGGAGGATGAGGGCAGCAGTAGGTATCTCAGATAGGGGGGAGTGAGGCCTAAGAGAGTTTTATAAATAAGCATCAACCAGTGGGTCTTGCGACGGGTATACAGAGATGACCAGTTTACAGTGCAGTAATGTGTCCTATAAGGAGCATTGGTTCTTCTTACCAAACCACATGACCTTTGTTTTGGAGGTGTTCAGAACAAGGTTAAGGGCAGAGAAAGCTTGTTGGACACTAAGAAAGCCTTGTTGTAGAGTGTTTAACACAACATCCGGGAAGGGGCCAAGTGAGTATGAGACTGTATCATCTGCATATATAGTGCCTTGCAAAAGTATTCATCCCCCTTGGCGTTTTTCCTATTTTGTTGCATTACAACCTGTAATTTAAATCGATTTTTATTTGGATTTCATGTAATGGATGTACACGAAATAGTCAACATTGGTGAAGTGAAATGAAAAATATAACTTGTTTCAAAAAATTCTAAAAAATAAATAATGGAAAAGTGGTGCGTGCATATGTATTCACCCCCTTTGCTATGAAGCCCCACCTAAGATCTGGTGCAACCAATTACCTTCAGAAGTCACATAATTAGTTAAATAAAGTCCACCTGATCTCAGTGTATATATAGACCTGTTCTGAAAGGCCCTAGAGACTGCAACACTACTAAGCAAGGGGCACCACCAAGCAAGCAGCACCATGAAGACCAAGGAGCTCTCCAAACAGGTAAGGGACAAAGTTGTAGAGAAGTACAGATCAGGGTTGGGTTATAAAAAAATATCAGAAACTTTGAACATCCCACGGAGCACCATTAAATCCATTATTAAAAAATTGAAAGAATATGGCACCACAACAAACCTGCCAAGAGAGGGCCGCCCACCAAAACTCACGGAACAGGCAAGGAGGGCATTAATCAGAGAAGCAACAAAGAGACCAAAGATAACCCTGAAGGAGCTGCAAAGCTCCACAGCAGAGATTGGAGTATCTGTCCATATGACCACTTTAAGCCATACACTCCACAGAGCTGGGCTTTAGGGAAGAGTGGCCAGAAAAAGCCATTGTTTAGAGAATAAAATAAGCAAACACGTTTGGGGTTCGCCAAAAGGCATGTGGGAGACTCCTCAAACATATGGAAGAAGGTACTCTGGTCAGATGAGAAATTGTGCTTTTTGGCCATCAAGCAAAACGCTATGTCTGGTGCAAACCCAACACCTCTCATCACCGCCGAGAACACCATCCCCACAGTGAAGCATGGTGGTGGAAACTGGTCAGAATTGAAGGAATGATGGATGGTGCTAAACACAGGGAAAGTCCTGAGTGAAACCTGTTTCAGTCTTCCAGAGATTTGAGACTGGATCGGAGGTTCACCTTCCAGCAGGACAATGACCCTAAGCATACTGCTAAAGCAACACTTGAGTAGTTTAAGTTTGAAACATTTAAATGTCTTTGAATGGCCTAGTCAAAGCCCAGACCTCAATCCAATTAGAGAATCTGTGGTATGATCCACACAGACATATCAGTGTGGATGACGGATCACCACCTCAAGCTGAACCTCGGCAAGATGGAGCTGCACTTCCTCCCGGGGAAGGACTTCCCGCTCCATGATCTCGCCATCATGGTTGACAACTCCGTTGTGTCCTCCTCCCAGAGTGCAAAGAATCTTGGCATGACCCTGGACAACACCCTGTCGTTCTCCGCTAACATCAAAGCAGTGACCCGATCCTGTAGGTTCATGCTCTACAACATTCGCAGAGTACGACCCTACCTTACACAGGAAGCAGCACAGGTCCTAATCCAGGCACTTGTCATCTCCCGTCTGGATTACTGCAACTCGCTGTTGGCTGGGCTCCCTGCCTGTGCCATTAAACCCCTACAACTCATCCAGAACGCTGCAGCCTGTCTGGTGTTCAACCTTCCCAAGTTCTCTCATGTCACCCCGCTCCTCCGCACAATCCACTGGCTTCCAGTTGAAACCTGCATCTGCATACGGAGCTGTGAGGGGAACGGCACCTCCGTACCTTCAGGCTCTGATCAGTCCCTACACCCAAACGAGGGCATTGCGTTCATCCACCTCTGGCCTGCTGGCCCCCCTACCTCTGCGGAAGCACAGTTCCCGCTCAGCCCAGTCAAAACTGTTCGCTGCTCTGGCACCCCAATGGTGGAACAAGCTCCCTCACGACGCCAGGACAGCGGAGTCACTCACCACCTTCCGGAGACACTTGAGACCCCACCTCTTTAAGGAATACCTGGGATAGGATAAAAGTAATATTTTTACCCTCCCCCTACCCCCCCCCCCCCCCCCCCCCCCCCCCCCCCCCCCCCATTTAAAAATAAATAAATAATAATAAATGATATATTGTAAAGTGGTTGTCCCACTGGCTATCATAAGGTGAATGCACCAATTTGTAAGTCGCTCTGGATAAGAGCGTCTGCTAAATCATGTAAATGTTTGACTTAAAGATTGCTGTACACCAGCGGAACCCATCCAACTTGAAGGAGCTGGAGCAGTTTTGCCTTGATGAATGGTCAAACATCCCAGTGGCTAGATGTGCCAAGCTTATAGAGACATACCCCAAGAGACTTGCAGTTGTAATTGCTGCAAAAGGTGGCTCTACAAAGTATTGACTTTTGGGGGGTGAATAGTTATGCACGCTCAAATGTTCTTTTTTTTGTCTTATTTCTTGTTTGTTTTACCCCAAAAAATATTTTACATCTTCAAAGTGGTAGGCATGTTGTGTAAATCAAATGATACAAAAAAATATATATATTTTAATTCCAGGTTGTAAGGCAACAAAATAGGAAAAATGCCAAGGGGGGTGAATACTTTCGCAAGCCACTGTAAATGGATGAGAGGGCTTCCTACTGCCTGAGCTACAGTGAGGGAAAAAAATATTTGATCCCCTGCTGATTTTGTACATTTGCCCACTGACAAATAAATGATCAGTCTATAATTTTAATGGTAGGTTAATTTGAACAGTGAGAGACAGAATAACAACAACAAAATCCAGAAAAACGCATGTCAAAAATGTTATAAGTTGATTTGCATTTTAATGAGGGAAATAAGTATTTGACCCCCTCTCAATCAGAAAGATTTCTGGTATCCCAGGTGTCTTTTTACAGGGAACGAGCTGAGATTAGGAGCACACTCTTAAAGGGAGTGCTCCTAATCTCAGTATGTTACCTGTATAAAAGACACCTGTCCACAGAAGCAATCAATCAATTAGATTCCAAACTCTCCACCATGGCCAAGACCAAAGAGCTCTCCAAGGATGTCAGGGACAAGATTGTAGACCTACACAAGGCTGGAATGGGCTACAAGACCATCGCCAAGCAGCTTGGTGAGAAGGTAACAACAGTTGGTGCGATTATTCACACCTCACTAACTTTAAGCGTCAGTTGTCAGAGCAGCTTACCAATCACTGCACCTGTACACAGCCATTCTGAAATTAGCCCACCCAACTACCTCATCCCCATATTGGTATTTATTTTGCTAATTTGCACCCCAGTATCTCTATTTGCACATCATCTTTTGCACATGTATCATTCCAGTGTTAATACGTAATTGTAACTATTTTGCACTATGGTCTATTTATTGCCTTACCTCCATAACTTACTATATTCGCACACACTGTATACAGTGGGGGAAAAAAGTATTTAGTCAGCCACCAATTGTGCAAGTTCTCCCACTTAAAAAGATGAGAGAGGCCTGTAATTTTCATCATAGTTACACGTCAACTATGACAGACAAAATGAGGAAACAAAATC